CTGGGACCAGTTGGGCTCCAGCACCATTCCTTGAGGTTTTCCAGGGGAAAACCAGTCCCAGCACTTGGACAGAGGAACTGGGGCCAGTTGGGCTTGAGGTTTGGAACTGGGACCAGTTGGGCTCCATCACCATTCCTTGAGGTTTGGAACTGGGACCAGTTGGGCTCCATCACCATTCCTTGAGGTTTTCCAGGTGAAAACCAGTCCCAGCACTGGGGTGGAAGAACTGGGACCAGTTGGGGGCTCCATCACCATTCCTTGAGGTTTGGAACTGGGACCTGTTGGGGCCTCCGACACCATTCCTTGAGGTTTGGAGCTGGGACCAGTTGGGCTCCAGCACCATTCCTTGAGGTTTTCCAGGTGAAAACCAGTCCCAGCACTTGGGTTGAGGAACTGGGACCAGGTGGGGGCTCCAACACCATTCCCTGAGGTTTGGAACTGGGACCAGATGAGCTCCATCATCGTTCCTTGAGGTTTTCCAGGTGAAAACCAGTCCCAGCACTTGGGCAGAGGAACTGGGACCAGTTGGGCTTGAGGTTTGGCACTGGGACCAGTTGGGCTCTGACACCATTCCTTGAGGTTTTCCAGGGGAAAACCAGTCCCAGCACTTGGACAGAGGAACTGGGGCCAGTTGGGCTTGAGGTCTGGAACTGGGACCAGTTGGGCTCCATCACCATTCCTTGAGGTTTGGAACTGGGACCTGTTGGGGCCTCCGACACCATTCCTTGAGGTTTGGAGCTGGGACCAGTTGGGCTCCATCACCATTCCTTGAGGTTTTCCAGGGGAAAACCAGTCCCAGCACTTGGGTTGAGGAACTGGGACCAGGTGGGGGCTCCATCACCATTCTTTGAGGTTTGGAACTGGGACCAGTTGAGATCCATCACCGTTCCTTGAGGTTTTCCAGGGGAAAACCAGTCCCAGCACTTGGGTTGAGGAACTGGGACCAGGTGGGGGCTCCATCACCATTCTTTGAGGTTTGGAACTGGGACCAGTTGAGATCCATCACCGTTCCTTGAGGTTTTCCAGGGGAAAACCAGTCCCAGCACTTGGGTTGAGGAACTGGGACCAGGTGGGGGCTCCATCACCATTCTTTGAGGTTTGGAACTGGGACCAGTTGAGATCCATCACCGTTCCTTGAGGTTTTCCAGGGGAAAACCAGTCCCAGCACTTGGGTTGAGGAACTGGGACCAGGTGGGGGCTCCATCACCATTCTTTGAGGTTTGGAACTGGGACCAGTTGAGATCCATCACCGTTCCTTGAGGTTTTCCAGGGGAAAACCAGTCCCAGCACTTGGGTTGAGGAACTGGGACCAGGTGGGGGCTCCATCACCATTCTTTGAGGTTTGGAACTGGGACCAGTTGAGATCCATCACCGTTCCTTGAGGTTTTCCAGGGGAAAACCAGTCCCAGCACTTGGGTTGAGGAACTGGGACCAGGTGGGGGCTCCATCACCATTCTTTGAGGTTTGGAACTGGGACCAGTTGAGATCCATCACCGTTCCTTGAGGTTTTCCAGGGGAAAACCAGTCCCAGCACTGGGGTGGAAGAACTGGGACCAGCTGGGGGCTCCTACACCATTCCTTGAGGTTTGGAACTGGGACCAGTTGGGCTCCAACACCGTTCCTTGAGGTTTGGAACTGGGACCAGTTGGGCTCCAGCACCATTCCTTGAGGTTTTCCAGGGGAAAACCAGTCCCAGCACCCAGTGCTTGGGTGCAGGAACTGGGACCATTCCTTGAGGTTCGGCACTGGGACCAGTTGAGCTCCATCACCAGTCCTTGAGGTTTTCCAGTGGAAAACCAGTCCCAGTCCTGGCGCTTGGGTGGAGGAACTGGGACCAGTTGGGCTCCAAAACCATTCCTTGAGGTTTGGAACTGGGACTATTCCTTGAGGTTTTCCAAGTGAAACCCCCCCCCAGTCCCATCGCTGGGGCGGAAGAACTGGGCCCACTTTCCATAAAACCACTTTAAACCATTCCAACTTGCGTTTCCAAACTTGACATTTTTGGGAGCGAGCAAAAAGTCTAAAAACCGAGCTCAAAACCCCCGGGGTGAGACAACAGACCTTTTTTCCCCCGTTTTTTCCTCATTTTTCTCTCCCTCTCTGCAGGGGAGGCGGCGCAGCTGTACCACGTCACCTACCGCACGGCGCAGGGCTTGACGGGGGACACCTACGACCTGGTGGTGATCGCCGCTCCGTTGGGCGCCCCGTTGGCCAACATCTCCTTCTTGAACTTCCAACCTCCCATCCCGTCCTTTCCCAACCCTTACCACCAAACCGTCGCCACCTTCGTCCACGGCCGCTTAAATTCCTCTTTTTTCGGTTACCGGGATCCTTCCTCTTTCCGTTTGGGCGTCATCTTCACCACCGACAACCCCAACCTCTTCATCAACAGCTTGGGGATGGTATCTCCAGTTGAGAAGAAAGACGACGATGACGACGATGATGAAAAAACCACCCCTTTGGCCGTCTGGAAAGTGTTTTCTCGGGAAGAACTCACCAAAGAGGAGTTGGATTTGCTTTTTGTTTCTTACGATTCGGTGAAATCCAAGAAATGGTTGGCGTACCCTCGGTACGACCCCCCGGAGAGGTGTCCTCCCATCCTTCTCCATCGGCACCTCTACTACCTCAACGGCTTGGAACGCGCCGCCAGCGCCGCCGAGCTCAGCGCCGTGGCCGCCAAAAACGTCGCCCTTTTGGCTTTCCACCGGTGGCACGGCAACCCCCGCGCCGTCGACCAGCAGGATCTGGAGGAGAAGCTGAAAACCGAGCTCTGAAAACCCCCCCTAATTAATTAATTAAAGGTAACGAAGGAGGAATTCCTCATTTAGCGTCTTCCAACCCTAAAAAAAAAAAATAGAAGAGG